ATTCAAGCCGTCTCCAGCCATTATTGGTCTCAGAGTGGGTTCCTCGTCATCGAAAATACTTCCTAATATTCTATTATACACTTCTCTTTTAGTCACAACCATATGCATCCATTGTGCTATATAGATCAGCTTCCTTGTATTGGGTACTTTCATTCCTCTCACTACTCTCCAGTTATAACAGATTCCTTACACTCACTAGTATTGCGTACTTTATTAGCTCAAAAACTATGTAATAGGTATTCTTATTGTGTCCTGATGTGTTGTTCTTTGTAATACATATTTTATTGTGTCCTGATGGGCTGTTCTTTGTAATACATATTTTATTTTGTGCCCAGATGTGTTGTTCTTTGTAATACATATTTCATTTTGTGCCCTAAGGTGCTGTTCTTTATAATAAATATTTCATTTTGTGCCCTAAGGTGTTGTTCTTTGTAATAAATATTTCATTTTGTGCCCTAAGGTGTTGTTCTTTGTAATAAATATTTCATTTTGTGCCCTAAGGTGCTGTTCTTTATAATAAATATTTCATTTTGTGCCCTAATGTGTTGTTCTTTGTAATAGGTATTCCTGTTATTCCAGTATGTGTTCATTTTGTTTGTTATTAAACATAAAATCACACAATGGGCTACATGTATTCTGCCCATCGTGGATATCAAAACCTAATTTAATGGGTTACAAGCAGCCAGACTTACCGCTGAGCCAAGTGTTTGTTGTAATAAATATTCTTACTGTGTCCTACTATATAGTTTTCTTTATAATAGACTTTGGTATTGTTCCCTACTCATTGTTCTTTATAATAGATATTAGTATTGTACCCTACTCACTGTTCTTTGTAATAGATATTGGTATTGTTCCCTACTCACTGTTCTTTATAATAGATATTGGTATTGTTTCCTACTCACTGTTCTTTATAATAGATATTGGTATTGTTTCCTACTCACTGTTCTTTGTAATAGATGTTGGTATTGTTCCCTACTCACTGTTCTTTGTAATAGATGTTGGTATTGTTCCCTACTCAGTGTTCTTTATAATAGATATTGGTATTGTTCCCTACTCACTGTTCTTTGTAATAGATATTGGTATTGTTCCCTACTCACTGCTCTTTGTAATAGATATTGGTATTGTTCACTACTCAGTGTTCTTTATAATATATATTGGTATTGTTCCCTACTCACTGCTCTTTGTAATAGATTTTGGTATTGTTCCCTACTTACTGCTCTTTGTAATAGATATTGGTATTGTTCCCTACTAACTGTTCTTTATAATAGATATTCTTAAAATTAGCATAACGTTTACATATGGATTTAACATCATATCTGTTTTAACTTGAGTTCTTAATTTACCAGTTGTATAATTATTTGTAGCTATTTTACGAATGAAATATTTAGTTATGGAATATTGTCGCATGTTTAAGGACATGCAAATTTGTTCCTAACATTTACACAATGAGTCGATAGTGTATGTAATCTTTTTTTTTCCTGACAACTTTGTTGTTATGGAACACTCTACTATACCTATCCTGTCATAAGGTAATCTATTCAATTTGCATGTATGTCGCTTAATATTACACAATGTTATTCAATATGTACTTTCCGCCATTATATACAAATATCATGTTTTTAACTGCGCGTTTTTGGAAACATGTAGAAACAGTAATGTTTGCTGATTAGTTAACGCATTACATTAAATATTACGTTTTTTAAATTTTTTTCTGTGTAATTTATATACGTTTCATTCATATTTATTTTCTTGAACTTAGTTCGTTTTCTCTTCTTGACTACTTTTCGTCTACAGTTTTAAGTATTAGTATTTTCTTTTGTATTCAACAATACTCAGAACCGTATATAGTTCCATTGATCTATTTTGTACGTTTAATTATTTTTCAGGACAGTGTTTGTATTGTAACAATGGTAAGAGTGCAAAGAAGCAATGGATTGATGTAATACAGCGCAAAAATTACAGTTCGACCTGTTTTACTGAATTTCGTCATGGAAACACAATTTCTTAAAACCTCGTAGGTCCGTGGAATGACAACCGGAAGTAACCCCTTCTGATCGATAACCAGAAATAACGTCATTCTAACTCGAATTCACACTAAGCGAGAGTTTAATTGTTTCGACTTTCGATAGCTACACGAGAACAATGCTTAAGGAAAAAAAAAATTATATATATATATATTGTTTGTTTGTTTTTATCTGAAGTGACGTCACACTGTTACATTTTAGTCCAGAGTGTCGGCTTTGCCTCGTTCCATTTCATTTCTTGATCATTTTCTTGTCGCTCGAACTTGTTTTGATAAATCTAATTATAGATCGTTGATGTTTGTCATACAATTAGGTGTATACCCCCTAAAGACGTTATATTCCTTCCTTATAACACTGTTGTTCTTACATACTGTTTACCTCGCTCCGGAAACGTTTTCATTTCCATTTTTGAAGCTTTTAAGTGCCCCTAGTAAAAAGTATAAATCCTGAACCAACCCTATTCAACACAACCCATGATATTCTAACTCTTAATTTTAACTCTTCATGTATCATTGTTATTCGTAGTCAGCTGCAAATTTGAAAGCCACTCTGTGTACGTTCTCGTCTCTACAGCCTAATATCTGCTCATCGATCCACTTTCGCTGTTTGTACGGCAACAAGTACTAGGCGTGCCCGGTTAAAAACCTGTCGACTTCCGTGGAGACTTACCTACCCATTAGCTTGATTTCACGGTCACAGAGTTTCAGCTGGATTTGGTTGTGTAGCAAATACTAGTTTGATTTTTTCTTTACGTTTCCTTCACGTTCATAATTAATGTTTGAATTAATTCTTAAGAATTTCTCCTAAAGGATGATGGGGTTTAATCAGTGGAGTTTAGAACTGGTTTATTTTAAGTTTAAGTTTTTCTTGAGTAGTTCAAAGTCTTTATGTGAAAACTGTCAAATTATCAAATAGCTTATGGTGAAGTCGGTAATAAGAGAGATCTTAAGCTTCAAAGGGTGAGCATAAATCTCCCGTTAAATATGATGGAGACTTTATAGGCCTGAGTTGAAGTAGCCCATAGATGATAAGAAGACAAAACAACGATTCTTATTCTTACAGAACATTTGTTATATTCAGTCGTTCTATGGACTACAGAGCGTTGACTTGTGTTATTAAATTAGTATTGTGTTGTATAGGTCTTTGCTTTTCAATCCGCTATAACACTTAGTTTGCATATTCCCCCCCCCCAAATATTTTTGTGGCTAATTCTATGGTTTGCCAATAAAACAGGACAAAGGTTTCCAAATTTCTGTTATAGTTTTGTGAATTTGTGTTGTCTTATAACATAAGTTGTTTTTTTTAAATTATAATTTTATTTTCACTTATTTGATTCCGAGACTTTTTGGGGTATTAACTAACGAGTTCTTATAATACCACGTTTAGACAGTCTCATGAAAATTAACTGAGTTGAATTTTATATTAAGCTTGTTTCCTTTGTTGTTAAGAGCACAGCTACACGATAGGCTATCTATGCTGTGGCCATCACGGATATCGAAACCCGGTTTTTAAAGTTATAAGCCTCCAGACTTGCAAATGAGCCACTGAGATGAAGGGCCTTACATTAAATACAGAAAAAAATAATAATATGCGATGCTTATATCATAGTTTGTTATTTTTGTCTTT